GACTGTGCAGCGGCCTTCGAACAGTTGAAAACTGCCCTCGTGAGTGCCCCGGTCTTGGCGTATCCTGACCCCAGCCAGCCTTTCCTGTTGGACACCGACGCCAGCAACGTGGGGGTCGGAGCTGTGCTCTCCCAAGGGGGAGAGGCGGAGGAGCGAGTAGTGGCATACTACAGATGCAGTCTCAGCCGGACAGAGAGGAATTACTGTGTTACCCGGCGTGAGCTGTTGGCTGTGGTCCTGGCGGTTCGTCACTTCCGACCTTACCTCTTGGGCACTAAGTTCCTGCTCAGGACCGACCACGCCAGCCTAACCTGGATGCTGAACTTTCGCCAACCAGAGGGTCAGTTGGCCCGGTGGCTGGAAATACTACAAGAGTTCGATTTTGAGGCCCAGCACCGACCAGGGCGGCAACACGCCAACGCCGACACCCTGTCCAGGCGCCCCTGTTCTGCGGAGGAGTGTCGGTACTGCAGGCGCCTGGAGGAGTTGGACCAGGCTCCCACATCAACAGCAGCAGAACCCGAGGTTAAGGGTGAAGGGCGGGAACCTTTCACCGCGGCAGAGCTGCAGCAGCAACAGGTGAGCGATCCAGTGCTGGGGATGGTGAGGGACTGGATGGAGGCTGGGACACGGCCAGACTGGTCCGCCGTGTCTTCCCAGGGGCCCAAGACGAAGTCCCTGTACTCCCAGTGGAACAACCTGGAGCTCCATGGCAGTGTACTTTACTGGCGGTGGCGAGCGCCAGACTGGGGAGGCGACATACTCCAGCTCTTGGTTCCCCGGGCCTTGTGGCCTGAGGTTCTCCGCTGGGTTCACGGGGCTGCAGGTACTGGCCATTTTGGGAATGTTATGTTAATGTAAGCCACAGGGAAGGTGATGTGTGTTCTGTGGAGCAGGTTGAAGTAGCATGGTCAACTGACACCGTGTCTCTGTGTGGTAGGAGCGTGATAGAGGATCGGTGTCTGTAGCGTTACAAAGTGTGGAATAAAAACCCTAATAAAGGTCTGGTGTGAACCATTACTGCCCCCTGCTGGTTGATTTGGGGACTATAAACCTGCCGCTGAGATGCTCGGGGTCGCTACAATATGTATAATATAAAACTTTTGGATATTAATTTGGGACTCTTTCAGAATGACTGGGAACATTGGGAGAAATTTCTTGTTTACAATATAATAACAATATTTTAGAAGCCATTTACAAGCTAACTGTCAGGTAAACATACAGCAAGCAGTAATTTAATAAAACAACTTAAAGAAATACTTACTGTGACATTCGACGAGTTGAAAGTAACTAGATAAGTGACAAGATTAACGTAAACTTGCACAGGTAGCACGTCTCGACATGTAAACAGCCTGTGACGCAATAATCGGCTTGCACATTTCCCCAAAGTAGCACATTTCGACGGGGAGCACGGATAGTCAGAACACCGGTGCAGCTGGTGGAAATCTACTGTGATGCAAGCAGCTATGGGCTTGGTGCAGTGCTCACTCAAGACAGTCATCCTGTAGCGTTCTCATCTTGGTCGCTGACAGATACAGAAACCCGCTATGCGCAAATAGAAAAAGACTGGACTCATTCAGCAGATCTTTCATCGCCCTTAGAGATGCCTTCCCAGGTGTGTCCATGCCGATAGATCAGCAAGAGGGTACAGTTAAACCAAGGTTGCAGTGCCGTACGTGACCAGGCGAAGCAGAGTGGTTAAACCACCTGATAGACTTGGTTTGTGATGTCTTCTAGCTTAGTGTTAACAGCTAGGAGTAACACAGTGTTCATAGTTTTATAATTACTTTGATGTTCATGTATTGTCGACGAGACTTCTCATTCCGTGTAATGTGTACTCCTCCTGCCTACCAGCAGAGGGCAGTCGTAATCTGTTGTGCACAAAAAGCAGGCCAGAATAAAACACCACTCGCTGATCTGGAGGCCTGAGCCTCGTTTTTTTCGGTTACAGCGACGCAAATACATCACAGAAAGGCAGTGGAGACATGAGGCTTGGCGTGTAGACGGGCTGATGGATTTTACTGGCGCTGACTGAAAAGAACACCTCGTGGATAAGTTTCACCACAGGTAGAGCTAGGTGAGTGATCGAGTTCCCTCGTGTGGTAACAGTGACATGACCTGATGAGGTTTGTTTTGATGCCACTGCTGTTCAGTTCAGCAGCTCAGTAAAGTGTTGCGAGTTAGCTTTAGGGTTGGGTTGTATACCAAAATCGTACACCGCCGTTGTGGAATGCAGTCAAGTGAGCCGTCGTTCGTTTGTTTGTCCGTGGTGAAATGAGCCGCGCCTACAATTGAAGTTCGCGTTTATACGGTAGTTTACGGCAACACCCGTCTCGCTGCTGGAGAGGAGCTGAGATGAGCGACAGAATGGGCTGACATCAGGATGACACAGAGCTGCTAAATGTGCCTTTTTGATAAAAGATAGAATTGTGTTTTTAAAAAAGGACACTAAGCATCCTATACATACATACTAAGTACTTCGAGTACTACCTGGTACCAAAGTATGAACTACTTTTACTGTGTACTTTTTGAGTAATTGTACTTCGAACTGTCCAAAAAGCCAAAAGTGCCGTGTTTGAGGTAGGATAAAGTTGTATTTTGGAAAAAGGACACTAGGTCACCTATACATGCATTCTAAGTACCTCGAGTACTACTTGGTACTAAAGTATGAACTACTTTTACTGTGTACTTTTTAAGTAATTGTACTTCAAAGTAGGTCCAAAAAGCCAAAAGTGGCAAGTTTGAGATGGGATAAAATGGTATTTGGGAAAAAGGACACTAGGCCACCTATACCTACATACTAAGTACCTCTAGTACTACCTGGTACTAAGGTATGAACTACTTTTAGTGTGTACTTTTTAAGTAATTGTACTTCAAAATGTCCAAAAAGCCAAAAGTGGCAAGTTTGAGATGGGATAAAATGGTATTTGGGAAAAAGGACACTAGGCCACCTATACATACATACTAAGTACCACGAGTACTACCTGGTACCAAAGTATAAACTACTTTCACTGTGTACTTTTTAAGTAATTGTACTTCAAATTACGTACAAAAAGCTCAACGTGCCAATTAGTTATGAACTAACAATACATTCAATTAATAACACTAAACATATTTGTCCAAATATATATTATGTTGTTTGAAGCCAAGATTTTCACTATATGAATTTTCAAACTTGTTAGATTGTGAATCTTTAAAAAAATGTTTTTGCTCTATTTGTGCCTTTTTTTAAGTTTTTTTTTACTCGAATTAAAACAGAACTCTGATGAAAAACAAGCAGCATTATTTTACTTTGGGTCAATAAGATGTTGAGGCCTTTGGAGGACATTCAAGTCATAAATAACAAACTATGTATTTTAATGTTGGTCAGGTAAAACTGGAAGACTGCTTTGATTCATTTTCTCCAAAGAACTGGCTTAGATCAGTAAAGTTTAGCTTTTCCTTTGTTCAAATTCAACATCATGAAATTTATTACATCATTGTTTTTAAACATTTAAAATCCAAATACAATCAAATATTCACTTTTTCATGCTTTTGTTTCTATTCATTATTTGTGTAGTTTTTCCACGTAGTTGGTGAATAAAACACATTAATTATGAAAAGTGAGCTTTCCTCAGACTATAACTGTTCCACCATAATCTATGATGGCTGCGTCCCAAACTGTTAAAACAACCCACAAAGCACCTTCAGCAGCTGTTATTTTGATAACAGAAAAAAGACAGCTAGGTGGTCCATGTAAAATGAGGCCTCATTTGTCATCAGTTATGTGGTTTTTTTCACAAAATGAAGCAATCCATGCAACCGTCGAAATGAGATTTGATGGACACGCCCCCTTCCTGCTCAGTACAAGCCTCGCTTTATTTATCACCAGGCTGTGGAAACTTTCTTCTCAACAACTTGGTGGAGTTCTTTCCAGAACCGTGACAATCGGAGCTCCAGAATCAGGTTGTGGGTGGGAAAAGCTTTTCTCTAGACTTCCTGCCCTCTGGATCTGCTGCTGTTCCTTTGGCCTCTCTGAGAAACGCGCTCGTTTTGCTGCTTTCATCAGATTGAAGAGGTTCCCTCTGTCCAGTGTTGGGCAAGTTACTTCAAATCTGTAATGCATTATTTATTACCTGTAATTGTCACTTCAAAGTAATTTGTTACATTACAATATCACTGTTTTACTTTCAAATGTAAGACATTACACTACTATTACATTACTTTAAGGTACTCTCACCAAAATAACTTTAAATATGGATTAAGCCATCTAAAAGTAGCTCATGATTAAAAACAGTCAGATACAATAACAGGTCTAGCACACAAGAAGCATTTGACTACAATGTTCTTCATATCCTTATTTTTCATAAACTTAAAAGTTATGGGCATTTGCCCATCTGGAGGACGTTCTAGCTAATGTTAGATCAGCTGCAGGTTCTCATCTCTGCTTTGTCTGACTGCAGGGTTAGCTCTGCACCGCAGGTCCATCAGATGACCTCCATCAGGGCTGGATTACGATTGCAGTAGCCCCAGGGATGAAAGTGTCCAAAGCTGGACAGGCCCTAAGAAAATTATTGTTTATTAAACAAATGCAACAACAAACTGTGCTTGGCACACTGTCATCTTAAATCCCTTCAGTGTGAGTGTGTGTATGGGGGAGGGGGGTAATGACCGTATTACAGCAAAAAGCAGTGCATTACCGTAATTAGTTCTTTTTGTAACATGTTACTCCCAACACTACCTCTATCAGACTCGGTTATCTGAGTTGGTCATGATGCAGGATCGCTGCTCGCTCTCTGATCCATCCTGCTCACACACTCTGACGGGAAAACCCCGAATCTGAACGTGACTCTGGAGAAAAAAGCGGTTAGCTCTACTCCGTGAACTCTGGTGACCAAAGGTCCTCTTTTCCTGACTGGATCTGTCCTCAGCTGATCAGAACCAAAGCGTTGGATCTTTAATCTCCTGCGTTGTTCTGAAGCAGCGTCTTAATCAGCTCTCCTGCTTTGTTTCTATTGCAGCTGTTAGCTAAACACGGCTAAAGAAAACCTGCTACCACTTCAGGATCTGGGACTGCTTCATCGTGTGTTCTGCACCATCTGGACCTGGACAGCATGGACACAGGTACTAAATGAACAAACGAAGGAATGAAAGGCTTTATTGTCACCTAATGGTGGAACATTACACTGAGATTATGAGTATGTCTCCTGTGATGTGCAATCTTTTAAAAATGGCCTGTATTTGCTAGGGCTGTAGCGAAGCCTTGACGAAGTCGACGGCTCGATTCTAAAAATTTGTCGACGTCAGATCCGGAAGTCGACGCACCGCGCCCACTTGTTGCATCCCCAGGAGTTTGTTTATAGAGGAGGAATCTGCCTGTTTTTCCTCTAGTTCGCCCTCTTCTCCGCCTTCACTAACATCTCCGCCAAATACCGAAGACCCGGAACAATGTCCGTCCACTACTAGATTATTTTCCTGTTTTGCCCCTTCGTCTCCCGGCAACGGACAACAACTTCCGGGGTCAGATGCGCTGCTTCGTGTCTACCGCAGATGTAGAAAATCACCGGGTGCGCTTCTCCCTTCATTAAGGAGCTTCTTTCAGACATGAGGAGAGCTGTTTTGGTGGTAGCAGTCTCCCCTCTGTGCTGGTCTGTTTGCTGCTGGGTGTTTTTGGTTTATTTAAACTTGGTAACTTGAACTTAATGTTGGTAAAGCTACTGTTAGCGTCTTCGCTAACAGCTTCTTGCGTTGGGATAAGCTGTTACGTTTTGGTTTAGAGTTCATCTTTTTTGTGGTGTAGATCTCCCTTTTATTACATTTAGAGTGTTGTGGGTTTTTGGTTTAGTGTAAAATATCAACTGAGTTTGGTTTAACCCGTAAGACCACTCGCCTCACGCACATAAGTGACCAAAACAAAGCAGCATGGAGACACTCCATCTTCTACCACCTCTCAGGCAGCAGCCTGCACTCCCAAGTTCTACACGTCACCAGAACATAACCAACCGCAACACAATAAAAGCAGTGTTATACAAAATGGAAGGCCTGTAGTGTTTATTCTCTTACAGTAAGAATTTATCCATTTTTTTGATGAATTTATTTGAGATTTTCTGGTTTTTGTTAATTGTGCAATAGAAAAATAATCATTAGATTAATTTTCTATTACACTACATTACACTGAGATTATGAGTATGTCTCCTGTGATGTGCAATCTTGTAAAAATGGCCTGTATTTGCACAGCACCTTCTTGGCGCTTCACAACAGAAGCAGTCATTCATCCATTCACACACTGATGACCTACAATGTAGCCACAGCTGCCATGGGTTGCTCTGAAACCATAACCAGAATAAATAAATAAAAACAAAAAGGATAAGGGGTAAACCATAACACAACCCCCCTCATAAAGTCCAGCTACCAGATGGACGGCGGGTCTGACTGCTCTATCAGGTCTTGGCGTAATGTGACGCTTGGGGACCCACTAGCGGTCTGCTGGGCCATAACCCACTCTGTCCATAAGATACTGGACACCTCAGCCGACTGTCCTCGAGGCCAAGAGCTTGTGGACCACATAGACCAGCCCACTGTCCACTAGGCAAGGAGCGGGGGGGCGGGCATGCAGGCAGGCAGTGTTAGCAGAGGACTGAGTTTCTCTGGCTTCTGCTTGCTGATTTGCAAGGTAGGGTGGACTTGTAGTGAGCGGGGGAGAGCCAGCCTCACCGCCACCAGGTTTATTATCTTTGTGATGGTAACGAGCTGATAAATCGGGGTTGCATCTTCCTAGTACCCCCTTTCAGTGGTAAATCCGCAGAAGAGAGCCAGACCCTGTCACCCACCTTGTAGATTGGAGCGGCAGATCGCCAGCAGTTCGCCACCGTGGCAAAACGCTCCTGGTTCTTAACCAGCTGGGAGCGTAATTCGACCCAGGAACGTCTGCAGCATCTCACAAACACTGCGTGGCCGGAGGTGGAAGCCATCCACTCCTGATGGCGGAAGAAGGGAGACTGGTATCTGTAGGCTGCCTTAAATGGAGAGAAATCAGTGGAGTTCACTAGGGGTTATGGGAGTACTCCACCCAGGGAAGTTGGGTGGACCTGGAGCGGGGGTTCTTCTGGCACATAGCCCGAAAGATTGTCTCCAAGTCCTGGTTGAAGCGCCAAACCTGCCCGTTCGGCTGAGGATGGAACCCAGAGCTCAGACTGACCTTGATTCCCAGGAGTTTGCAAAATTTCTTCTAAAAAGCTGACACGAAATAGGGGCCTTGATCAGAGGTTATGTCCTCAGGGAGTCAGTGCAGCTGGAAAACGTGTCAAACCACCGCCTCGGCCAGTTGCTTAGCTGATGGCAATCTCTGCAGAGGTATAGCATGGGCCAACTTAAAGAACCTGTCCACTACAGTTAAAATCACAGTTTGACCTCTGGAATCGGGCAGTCCAGTGATGAAATCCATGGCCACGTGGGACCACGGTCTGGAGGGGACAGGTAGAGGCTGGAGGAAACCAGCTGGGGAAGTCCTGGGCACCTTGACGCTGGCACAGACTGAGCACTAGACAACAAAGGCTCGAATGTCTGAGGCCACGGTGGGCCACCAGCAGATCGCTGAGCTATGAGGAAGGCGGTTCTTGTCATTCCAGGGTGGCAAGCCAGGCGTGATGAGTGTCCCCACTTCAGCACAGCAGGACGTAGACCTGAGGTGACGAATAAGCAGTTTGGGGGACAACCTGATGGGATGGTGGTGGTGTCAGGAACTGCAGCCTTGATCCTGCGCTCCAAGGTCCAGTGGGTGACCCCAAGCACCAACTTAGGGGGCACGTTGCTGCAGCCTTGATCCTGCGCTCCAAGGTCCAGTGGGTGACCCCAAGCACCAACTTAGGGGGCACGTTGGTCTTGACTCCTTGGCGGGACAGGGCAGCCGGTTTGATGTTCTTGCTGCCAGGGCGATAAGAAAAGGGGAAGTTAAAAAGGTCAAAAAACAAGGCCCAGCAGAATTGGTGGGAGTTGAGGCGCTTAACAGTCCGAATACATTCCAAGTTTTTGTGATCAGTCCGCACTAGAAAGGTCTTGCCATCTCCCTCCCAACTAATGATGCAATTCTTTGAGTGCTAGCTTAACCGCCAGCAACTCTGTTCCCTATGTTGTAGTTTCTCTCTACAGGGAAGAGCTTGAGGGAGAAATACGCGCAGGGATGGATTTTGTTATCAGACGCCTTCTGTGATAACACAGCGCCCACCCCTGACTCAGGGGTCCACAATAAATTGCTTGGAGGTGTCGGGCTGGGTCAGGATAGGGGCCGCAGAGAACCTTCTCTTAAGCTCGGCAAAGGCTTTGTCGGCAGCTGTGTCCCAGACAAAGGTTACCTTAGCCGAGGTGAGTCTATGGAAGGGTGCAGCCATGCCACTGAAGCCTCTGATGAAGCACCTATAGAAATTTGCAAACCCCAGGAAGCGTTGGAGCTGCTTACGACCAGTGGGTACAGGCCACTCGAGAACTGCTCTTACTTTGTCCTTGTCCATCTGAACAGACCCTGGAGAAACCACGTGCCCAAGGAATTTGGTTGTAATGCTATGGAACTCACATTTTTCAGCCTTGCAGAAAAGCTGGTTCTCAAGGAGGCACTGAAGGACAGCTCTGATGTGCTGCACATAAGTCTCACGGTCTGGGGAAAAAATCAAAATGTCATCAGTGTAAACAAACACAAATTAAGCATGTCCTTGAGCACATCATTGATCATTGATAAAATACTGAAAAACTGCTGGGGCATTCGTGAGGCCAAACGGTATAACTAGGTACTCAAAATGGCTGTTAGGGGTGGTAAAGGAAGTCTTCCACTCTTCCCCCTCCTGAATACGCACCAAACGGTACGCTTTCAGCAAGTCTAGCTTAGTGAAGATCCGGGCCCCCTTCACCTGATCAAAGGCAGATCGTAGAAGGGGCAGGGGGTGAGTGTTCCTGACCATGATGCTGTTCAAACCCCTGTAGTCGATGCAAGAACAAAGGCCTTCATCGTGTTTTCCCACCAGGGCCAGCCCAAGCCGTTGTAGGGCCCTAAATAGGTTTCCCTTGCGGACCCCCAAACCAAAAAGTCAACACCAGATGATTCATCATTCTTAGGCACCATTTGTGTAACATGCCCACTATCATTAGCATATTTTGTAATTAGCTCACATCAATCTGGTGTTATTGTGTATATTGATTTTAACTTTATCGGAGCAGCAATCCACACTAAATAATTAGCATTTTAAAATGAAGAGTGTTATTTAAGTGTGGTATATTAATTCAGCTATTTGAAAGAAACATCAGCAGACAAACACTAAATTTACAGTAACTCGATTCAGTTTACTATCTTTTGTTTTTAAAATTTCAAACATGTAAAGTGTGCTGCATTACAAGCAAAAACCAAATGACACTACAGAAAATTATATAAATGCATTGTTTTTTTTTTACTCATGCCACCTTAGTGTTCTTGGGGGACCCTGGTGATGTGGGGGCCCAAAGTAGTCGCTTAGTTTGCATATGCCTTGGGCTGGCTCCATTTCCCACAAAGAAAAACCCTGCCCCCGCAGATGAGGATGGGCGAACAATTCTAGCCTGCAGTCCTTCCTGAATGGACTCCTCCATTGCCGCTGTCTCAGGAATGGAGAGAGGATAGATGTGACCCTTAGGAGGCTGAGCACCGGGCAGAAGGTCTCTGGGACAATCGTGAAGGCGATGGGGAGGTAGGTCCTTGGCTGTAGATTTGCTGAACACGGCGGCCAGGTCTGAGTACTCGGAAGGGACATTATCAATGTCAGGCGGTTCTGAAGGTAGTGGGTGATGAACAGAACGTACCGGGGCAGCAGATAAACAATTTAACAAACAAAAAGAGCTCCACGTTATTACGCGGCCGGAAACCCAGTCCAGATGGGGGCAATGTTTGCATAACCAAGGATAACCTAGGATAACTCAATTCAATTCGAAAATACTTTATTAAACCCAGAGAGAAATTCAATTACTGAGGGTGTCAGAGAATCAACTACTAAAAAGCTTAACAGTTTCGTATGATTCCCCAAGACAGTAACTATAACAGGTACAGTGTGGGTAGTAATCTTATGAATATGGGAACCATGAACTGTGTGGATAAACAGGGCAGGTGAAATGGTAACAACTGGAATTAAATGTTGGCAAAAGGAGATCTGAGGCACTCAGGAGGTACAAAAATAAAAAGCCTTTATTAGTACATGGCTTAAATTGTTAAAAACATCAATGCCAACGCGTTTCAGCCCACAGGGTCTTCGTCAGGGCTCAAAATGTTTGTATACTCACTCACCCCCATGTTAACAGTGTTGGCTGCCACTGTCCGGAAATCCACAGCATAGGAAGACACGCTGCGGCCCTCCTGTCTGAACCAGAGTAGCTCAGAAGCGGCAGTCCAGTGTGGCATAGTTGGATCAAAGACGGTGAGGAGTTGTTTGGAAAACGTCTGGAAGAAGCGGACAAGCTCCATGCCTTTGTCCCACTCTTCCAGGCCCCACTTCTTGGCTCCTCCCATCAGGAAACTCATGGCAAAGACCACCTTGCGTTTCCTTGAAGGGAAGTCACTAGGGTTACACTGCAAATGGAGCCAGCACGAGGCGAGAAATGGCCGGCAGTGTCCTCTGCAGTGCCATCAAAGGGCTCAGGAGGGCCCAGCCGAGCCCGTCGGGATGACACAGGGCCTTGCTCCAGTCGAGACAGATGGCCATGCAGCTGCTGCATCCCAGATAAGTAGTTGTGTACTTCCTGGACCAGTGTTGGAAGCCCAATTCCAGTCATCGAGACCTACTCGGCCGAAGGTAAGGATCCGTCGAAGTTCTGAGTGCCACCTGCTGGGTTGGACATCTGGGTGGCGTTGTAATGTCACTGTGGGGTGGGGTTTGAGTAGCAACCCATGAGCAGGAAGGAGAACCAAGCTTAGGTTGAGGAAGCCTCTTTTCTTTAATGACAAAAAATTACCACACACGGTGGGAAAAAGCTAAAAACAGAACGTCATACTTGAGAGAGTTAACACGAGGTTCACTAAAGCTTAGTCCAAACATTCAAGACGACACACCGGGGACAGGCAACCGTGGCTTGTATCAGGGTGGTGATTGAGGATTGCAATCAGCGGCGACACCGCGGAACACACAGTCAAGGGTCGGAGCGTCCGGCCGCAGCTGATCTGCACAGAAACACAAAATACAGAATTGAGCAGGAGAAAAGAACCATAACCAGAATAAATTAAAACAAAAAGGAGAAGAGGTAAACCATAACAGCAAATTATTGGATAATTTATATAAATAACACAAGTGCTCCAAAATTAAATTCACAAGAAATGATCATCTTTAATGTCCTCATTTTATTTATGTGTAAAGCTGTACACCACCATGTGATTTGTTTACTTGGTGGCATTGGTGCAACTGACTGGACAAAACTAAACCTTTATTTTGCCAAAAGGAACTTTGTTACTAGACTATTAATGTTTATTTTTGTTGCATCCTAGTTATTGGTTGCATAGTTATTGGTAGAAATGATGCAATACCACAACTAGTGACGTTACTTCCCAACACTGGTTGTGTATATTGCTGATTGCACAAACACTACTAGGTACTCTGTCATCTGATTATACCCGTTTTTTTTATATACTTCTACTTTTTTCTCTGCAGTTTCAAGAAAGAGAGAGGATGCTGAAGAGAAGTCTTTGTTCTTACAATTTCATCAGCAGCAAATAGAAGACCAAAATGTCACAGCCAGGAGCTCAGATGACCAGGCGACAGCAGAAATTGGTGGAAGGGCAGAAACTAGCAGGAACCTAGACATGAACCTTCATGAGCAGACATTTGATTCTTCAGAGTTGGCAATTAGTGGAGATGATGACGATGGTGGTGGTGGTCATGTGAATCTCAACTCTGAGCTGTCAGACTCAGAGTCTGAAACTAGAGATGAAGACAATGATTGGAATGAGAGAAGGTCTTCTGAGTCAGATGTTAAGACTGTCAAATCCTTTAGCTGCCCTGAGTGTGGTAAACAATTTCTTCATAAGTCGTCTCTCCAGAAACATGTGAGAGTGACAAGTCATCCAGCAATAAGGTCTTCTGGCTGTTTGGTTAATAAGAAATGTGTTAGAGGGAAGCAATGTATAGACCCGTGCAGGAAAGTCCAGAAAGAACTAAAATCATTTTGTTGTGATGACTGTGGAAAAAGATTTAGTACAAAATCACATTTAAACGGTCACATGGAGGACCACACAGGACAGAAACCTTTTGCCTGTGATCTCTGTGGACATAGATTTACCCATAAGTCCAGTTTAAACAGACACATGAGAGTCCACACTGGACAGAAGCCTTATGCCTGTGATCAGTGTGGAAAATGTTTTAGCCATAAGACAACTTTAAACAGTCACATGAGTGTCCACACAGGACAGAAGCCTTTTTCTTGTGAGCTCTGTGGACAAAGATTTAATCAAAAGACACATTTAAACAGTCACACAAGAGTCCACACAGGACAGAAACCTTTTGCCTGTGAGCTCTGTGGAAAAAAATTTAGCCGAAGCACACATTTAAACAGACACATGATAGTCCACACAGGACATAAGCCTTTTCCCTGTGAGCTCTGTGGACAAAAATTTGGCTATAAGAATATTTTTAACAGTCACATGAGAATCCACACAGGACAGAAGCCTTTTGCCTGTGAGCTGTGTGGACAAAGATTTCGCTGTAAGTCAAATTTAAACAGTCACATGAGAGTCCACACTGGACAGAAGCCTTTTGCCTGTGAGCTGTGTGGACAAAGATTTAGCTGTAAGTCAACTTTTAACAGTCACATGAGAGTCCACACAGGACAGAAGCCTTTTGCCTGTCAGCTCTGTGGACAAAGATTTAGCCAAGGCAAACGATTAAACTGTCACATGAGAGTTCACACAGGACAGAAGCCTTTTGTCTGTGAGCTCTGTGAAGCAAGATTTAGTTGTAAGTCAAGTTTAAACAGTCACATGAGAGTCCACACAGGAGAGAAGCCTTTTGTCTGTGAGCTCTGTGGACAAAGATTTGGACATAAGAGAACTTTAAACGGGCACATGAGAGTTCACACAGGACAGAAACCATTTGCCTGTGAGCTGTGTGGACAAAGTTTTAGCTGTAAGTCAAGTTTTAACAGTCACATGAGAGTCCACACAGGACAGAAGCCTTTTGCCTGTCAGCTCTGTGGACAAAGATTTAGACATAAGACAACTTTAAACGGGCACATGAGAGTTCACACAGGACAGAAACCTTTTGTCTGTGAGCTCTGTGAAGCAAGATTTAGTTGTAAGTCAAGTTTAAACAGTCACATGAGAGTCCACACGGGAGAGAAGCCTTTTGTCTGTGAGCTCTGTGGACAAAGATTTAGACATAAGACAACTTTAAACGGGCACATGAGAGTTCACACAGGACAGAAACCTTTTGTCTGTGAGCTCTGTAAAGCAAGATTTAGTTGTAAGTCAAGTTTAAACAGTCACATGAGAGGTCACACAGGACAGAAGCCTTTTGCCTGTGAGCTGTGTGGACAAAGATTTAGCTGTAAGTCAAGTTTAAACAGTCACATGAGAGGTCACACAGGACACAAGAAACTCATTTAACTACAAGAGTTCCAAATAGGGACTTTTTTAGTTTTAGATATCAGTCTTGTACCCCTGGTTAACTGTCCTTTATCCAGGCTGCACACTGAAAGCATCAGATGGCACGGAACATCAGTGGAACGGTGTACTCACGACAATCACTGCACTCGAGTGCACATGGGGAGAGTCTCAGCAGCGAAGCAGCAGGATCACTAGAAGGCTCCCTCTAGACTTCAAAGGTTACGATTTGTTTATGCAATCCGCCATCAAACCAAAAAGAAGGAAATTTCATTGTTGCTGTTTGATGTCATATATGATGTTGTTCCTCTCCACTGCCAGGAAAAAAAACAACGAAAACCCACCGCTGCACTTCTGGAACAATACTGCGAGTAAATATGTTGTACGGTCACACGTAAGCTTCATATATATGAAATAGCATTAGCTGCAGTACTTTTATTTTGAAAGTTACTGGGGATTTTACACTGAAACCGTGTGTGATTTCCAGTCTGGCCTTATGTTAACTGCGGTAATTGACACATCCCAGAAGTGGGAAAAAAAGAACCCGATTCTATCTTTAGCAGTATGCTGCACCACGCTGCTTCTGGGACGCGTCTGAAAATTGCAGCGTCGCAGCTGGATTGTTACACTCCATAGACTGTAATGGATTCTATTTTAAGCAATGCCGTTTCGCTGTCTTTCCGTGCCGCTGATGCTTCCAGTGTGCAGTAGGGATCAGCGTTAACTGTCCTAGATCATGGCTGGATTCAGGATGTGAGCCACCTCTTTTAGAGTAAATTGCAGATTAGTCTCCCTTAAACCAATGTTGAGAGAAACATAACAGGAGCGTGTTTTAAATAAAAATTTACACAAACATGAATTTAGGCTCATTTTTGTAAGAAATATATTTTTCTATCAAACCAGAAGTGGCATAGGCAATGGGAGACGTGTTAGCTTGATCCAGAAAATAATATGGATTTTAATGCTAGCTCTGACACAGAGGAAGCTTTAAAATGTTTAATACTTACTAGTTTGCTTGCCCGTGCACATGCACAGGTTTTACGAAGGTGCGTGGCATTGTGGGGCAGCTCTAGCTCAACAGGTTGAGCGGGTTGTCCAGTGAACGGAAGGTTGCAGGTTTGATCCCGGCTCCGGACAGAGAATTCTGCTGTTGTGTCCTTGGGCAAGACACTTAACCCACCTTGCCTGCTGGTGGTGGTCGGAGGGTCCGCAGGCGCCTGTGCTCGGCAGCCTCGCCTCTCATCCCCACCAGTGTATGAATGTGTGTGTGAATGGATGAATGATACACTGTAGTGTAAAGCGCTTTGGAGTCCTTACCCCCAAATTCCACTACCTCCGCTCCGCTCCGGTCCGCCCCCCGCCTTCCGCAGCCGCTTGCTTCCAAACTCAATTTTTACTGTACCCGCTCTACAACGGCTCCGCTCCGGTGCGGAGACCTGAGGGGGGCAAACAAGCATGCGCAGGATTTTCGAGATCTTGCGATACAGTCCGAGCAATAAACGCGGAAGTTAGATCCAAACACCCGTTGTGTGGGAGAAGCATCGGCACGAACTGTTTAATCTGCCCATCATTTGTGTTGAGAGATCAGCAGTGTTTGGATCAACAAATTGTGACTACTTAGTAGATAGTAGAAACTGTATTTATGGCTTACTTTTGTGCATTTAAACTTCAGCCGCCATTGATAGTTGTTAAAAGTTGTTAAACCTGTGCATATGAAACAAAAAACTCCTTTTGTTTATCGATTTATTGTGAAAAACGGAAATTGTGCTTGCTCCTTTTCCTGTTGGGCCGTTGTGATTTATGTCCATTTACTGCGGAGGTGCTCCGGCGTCCGGCGAAAATAGGATCGATTCTATTTTTGCCGGACGCCGGAACAGAGGGCGGCGCATGGCGCCGCACTGCCGGAGCACGGCCACAGTAGTGGAATTGCTCTGATTGACTACAACAGGACCGATTTTGCTCCGACGTTCGTGGCGGAGCGGAGCGGAGGTAGTGGAATTGAGAGGCGCTATACAAGTGTGGATCATTGTAAAAGGTGTGAGCAGTTGCCCAAGTCCCTTTTTATCAATATTGTGCTAACAGCGCTGTGGCTCAACAGCGGCGGCACGTACATTTAGGAAGCCGCTCGAGATGGTGGTGCAAGTGTTTGTTTGAGAAATTCTGTAATTTCATACGGCTAGTAATATTGTAAGATGTGTTTACAACAGGTTCTGAAAACTTAATGATGATTATATTTTTTGCCAGTATTATGTATGAATGTTTATATCCATTGTTTTGTGGTTATGTACAGAAAGTAGTCAAATGTATGTTTTGTTGTCCCAATTTAATCAGTAAGTTACAGCATAACATGGTGAATGGCCTGTATGACACCCTCCAAGCAACACAGACGCAAGTGATTTCTTTCACGGGCTTCTTGAATGTCTTTCATCGTTGACCTCTTCTGTCTTTCTTTCCAAAGACCTTTAAACCGTGAAGCTGAATATACAGGATTTTACATTTAGAACAAATACAATAATGTGCAACAAAAATAAAGACAAATAAATACCTCGTTGGCTGTTTGCTCAAAACAAAAGGGAATCCATCTTTCCTCTTCAGTCCTTTTGTTATTTCTTTAGCAATGGATTGAATGCTTTCAGTCCATTCTCAGCTGTCTGCTTGCCAGCACTTCATCCAGGTTGTGTGATCTTCACACACCTGGTTTGCATCCATCATTAAAGATGTGGCTGGTAGAGCAGCTCAAATGTAGCTTTTCAAAATAAAAGTTCATGTACAGGAAACACAAAACAATTCCTTTTCAACCGTGTCTTACAAATGGAAACAAATTGAGAAATAAACAGCAACAACAGTTACACTCCCACCAAATCACATGAAAATCAATGTTTAGCACTGGAAAGATATTACCTCTTAGGGACCGGTAAACCCTAAGTACTAGGGATGAGCGAGTACACCACTATCTATCTGTATCTGTTCAACCAACTAAATTATCTGTATCTGTACTCGGAATGGGCGTGACATAACCCGGAAGTGGGCGTGGTTTAACAGGTAGTGGGTGCGGTTTACATCAATATATTGTTTTAAGTCTGAAATTGATATGGATTGATCAGAAGTGGATATGTGTATTGTTTATCTGAAAACTATTTACAGAGCAGCCTCAGAATTGAGATTAAATATTTTTGATCACAATAGTAAAGGAACTATTACAGAACAAGTGTTTCAATAAAATCAGAACATTAATATTTAAGTGCATGGATTAATACATCTGAACTCATGCCGTAGGAACTAGGAAATATGAAATGCTAGAACCAGACACAACTTTATATATATATATATTTTTTAATTTGCTTAAACTGATTTTTTCTTAACGTTCTTGGCATTTTCCCCACACAAAGTTAAACAAAACAATGTTGATTAAGGTGTGTGTGTGAGAGAGAGAGAGAGAGAGAGAGAGATTGAGAGGGAGAGAGAGGGAGTTAAAAAAAACAACCGGAGTGGAGTTAGTGACTGATGAAGCACGTCAGCTCTGTCTTGTCAAATGTAAGTTACGAAAAAAGTAACTTTAAATATTCAACCGAAAAAGAGGCGAGCTGAAGAAAACCTCGGGAGCACTGAAGAAACATGAGCAACAGTGAAGCAATCACAGCGAGATGAGCGACCGGGCGTACACTGTGCGACTTTTTCACTTTTTTGAGCCGATTTTCCACTCGTGCGAGAATCTACAAGATCGGGGCGAGTTTTGCGCTAAGCGTCGTGTAGTGTGCAGGGGGTTACGAGAGGCGATTAACACCACGTGACCAGCTACCGATCAGCAGTCGTGAGCTCGCTTAACCGCTCACGGCGCATGCGCAATCATGCATCAACACCGCTCGCCCGCTATTTCCCTAAAAACACACGTTGTTCGTTTTTATTTCTACACGTTTTTTTACTCACAAAGATTGTCAAGAAAGCGTGTTTGTCGTGTTCATGTCAAAGTAAACTGATCACAAAACACAGATTTACTTTCTTTATTTCGTTTTCCTCATCCAACCCCCATAAATCCCTGTGTGTCCTCCTGCAGCACTCCCAAAGGACAACAGGCAAAACAAGACAAAAAAGTCTGACGTGTTGCGTAAAAACTGCTATTTTTAGCATTTTTTTAGGGCCGACGTGTTGCTACCAGACGTACAGTGTGAGCAGTCAGGTCGCATCCGAGAACTGGGTCGTACAGTGTGAGCGCATGACTCGTGAGATCTGCCCTGCGAGGAAGTCGTACAGTTTGAGCTGAAGCTGAGTGCTGCGAGTGAAAAAGTCCCACAGTGTCCGCCCAGCACGATTACAGATATTTACGAGTTTTACTCGTTTTATGCTCGTATTAGTCAAAAATGCTTTATCCGTCCTATTAAGTACTTTCATTTGCTTCAATCAATGTAACAATTTTATGTACAGGTTTGTCAAGGAACACTGTTTTAGCCATAGGTTTACCCTTTCCATCAAATGTGGTATCGCTAACCAACAATCTTTTCTTACTTTATCATCTAACCCTCGATAGACCTCTGCTATTCTGGCCAGTTTCCATTCATTTCGTGGTGCCTGCTCATTCTGCAAATGTACAGGGTCATTGACTTTGAAGTTTCTTCTGGTTTTATACCATTTTTGTCTTTGTTGTAAACTCAGCAGATATTCCCTTTTCCAGCGAATCCAAAAATCATTGGCCAAACATGACTCTGCGCCATCTTTTTTTTAAGATACAAGTCTTCTTTGACAAACCGCCCAGGTGGAGGAAGGATAATTGTTGACTTAATTGTAAGAATGTGATTTGGAGTTAAAGGTTCAGGTGTGAATGGATCATTCAAATTCTCAACAGTAAGTGGTCAGCTATTGACAATTGACATTATTTTATGTGAAGTGTCCAGTCTTTGAGCTGAATTGTCAAGAATACTTGTGAGAACACTTCGAATAGTCCTAATCTGTCGTTCCCAGATGCCACCCATGTGACTTGCTGCTGGGGGGTTCATTAGGAATTCACATTTTAGAGTCTTGACCCTTTCTTCTTCCATTCCTTTTATGAGTTCCGCAAACTCCCTTTTTGCACCAATGAAATTGGTTCCTTGGTCATGTGACACGAGTGGGACCTCTAATAAAACCAGTAAAAAGGTACAAAAATTAAAATATTAAATATCAAAAAGGTTCTAACACAAGGCAAGCAGTGCAACCCCAAAAGCAAATTAAAGGACATTTATTCCAAAAACTCAGCTGGTGATGCCAAAATGAACTCCCATATAAGTCTGTGCTGGGCCTCAGGGGACAAAGCAGTCCAGTCCGGAGCTCTCGACAGGGAAGCATTTACAACCCCGCCCTCCGGCGGTGCGCGTCGTCCTCGGAGAGCCACGGGATCGCCGCACGGTGGATCCAATCCTCCTCCTCGGCTCGGCCACTGTGGGCACACAAAAACTCCGGCATTAAAATGTCCCAGGCACCAGACCACGCACAGAGCAACAGCAAACTCCAAACACTGCCAGGCACTGATCAGTTACTTACGCGCGGGGGTGAGGTGTCCTCTTGAGGGTGCATGATCAATCGGGGCACTGTGACAGGACGCTCACACTGCCACAAAATGTAACAACTTATAAGTTTGATATCGTATCAAACTTAAGTTGTTACATTTCTTCTGGCCAGGCATGAAACAACAGGTGGCTGGTTTTTGTAAAGGTGGCCATGTTTGACAAATAACTGGCAACCCTAATCAAATCCTGCTCCTCTACATAAAATCTCAGTGTTGACGAATTATTTTGACCATATTATAGTGGACTTTAGGACAATTACCTGTCTCTAAAACCCATTTTCCTGAGGCAGTGCCATTGTCATTAACCACAAAATCAATAACCAAAGCATTGGCTCGTTTATTTTTCTGTTTATGGTCTACCAAACGTTTTACAGTCTGGTCAAAGTTCCAATTTCCGTTCCAAGGTGACTGCTGTGGCCGCCAGCCTGGCCTCTTCAGGGTCAGGAGCCAGGATCACCCAGCCCCAGTGATCAGCCAGACACCGCCCCTCCTCCTCCTCCTCTCTTCCAGGCTGCTGAGGAGCACGGCTGAGCTGAATCCCTCTGACGACCCGCACCTGGGAAAAAAAGGCTGTGCCTTCAGTAGTTTGGGGTTCTGCTGTTCTCCAGGCCTCATTTTGTTTTCAATCCATTTGTTTTTGATGAGTTTTAACTTCAAAAATTTTAATTCTGAGTGATCCAAAAGGATCTTTGTTTGCCGTCAACTTGGTTGACTCTGTTTTAAGGTTAACATCGTAGTTTACCGACTTAAGGGGTTTAAAGTGTTTTCGTAGGGTGTCGGTTTTTATTATCAATTTGTGTTTTCAAAACACCTTCTGTGTCCCAGCCAGTTGCCAAGACCCAAACACATGATGTCATCTACACCATCCTGAAAGCAAAGGAGCTCTAGAGAGGTAGCACCTAACACTAAAATCCATGCTAAAATACTGCATCACTACTAGCAGGTCTTGGGAAGAGGGGTTGCCTTTTGTCCTTTTTGCTGCACGAGGTGCCGTACAAGAATCCTCTGGATTCAGTCCGGCCCAGCTAGTACTTGGGCACACCCCCAGAGGTCCTTTAAAGGCCCTGAGAGAGAGAGAAGTTCTTGTGGTTCGCACCATAGGTTGGAGAAAGTGAATGCTTATCTAAGCTAACACGACCATCTGAACCTAATGCTACTGCTCAGAAGCATCTCACTAAAGTTACAGAAGAGATAAACTGTTCAAGAAAGCCACCCTCAGATAACTAGATGTTGGTGAGGAGGTGCTTGTGCTCCGGTGCTTGTGCTCCTCCCGGTGGTTGGGTCGTCTCTTACTCCTAAATATGAGGGACCGCATGATTCAAAGCTCCCACTCGGAATATTAGATTTTGAAAATACCATACCATCAACTCTTTCTGTGTTTTAAAGGAACCAAGTAATACACGGTGCCGTGCTTGATCGTGTTACACCATTTTCCCAGCAGACAAGGATGGAGGCAGCATGAATGTGTTCAAACGTCATGTTCTGATTGAGTCAAAGATTCTGACACTTGTTGAGCCACCTAACGGAATACTGCAGTCAGAGGAGCGGGATCTCCAAACAGCTGTCCAGCTAGTGAATGGTGCCATTGGGAGCATTACGGCCCAGCTCTCTGGACAAGTGTTGGAGTGAGTGTAATAGAAGGGAGGCCACCAACTGGGTAATAATGAACAAAACAAAGGAGGTGCTGCCCTCTAGTGGTGAGAGGAGGCTATGACAGACTGAATCAGGGTTAAACAGGAGATATTTGTCATCACATTTATTTCAAGAACCAGGCTTGTTTACAAAATGTTAAAAGGTGGCACAGCTCAATGACGCCAACACCATTGGACCAGACTGGAGAGACTGCATCAGTCCTGGAAAAGAAGGAACATTACAATAATTACATTTATTTTTTAACACATTTATGTTCCACCACTGGTGGAAACCACCTTAAATATTTTGTTGTCCTTCTCCAACAAGAACCTCTGGGTTTCACACCTTCAGTCAGGACTAATGCACCTGTAGAGCACCTTAGGATCAGAGGACTCCCAACGTGCTACAGTGAATCATTCACACACTGATGGTGATGAGCTACAGGGTAGCCACCCAGCAATTACAGGGTGAACCTCTGACCCCTGAGCCACCGTCATCACTGTTCCAACATGTTCTACCAGATAGTTGTTTATCTGTGCTGCTCACCACGGAGCAGAGGGGGATTCCAACACTCACTGGTTAGACTGGTTCAGAATAACTAACACAACAGTTTCAGCAGAGGTGTGACAGGTATGTTACCTGTTCAGTGACATTTCTGACACACACACACACACACACACACACACCTGGTTCTGTTACAAAGATAATGTAGAAGTGACCCACTGTACCTCATCACTGTTGGACGAAGAATGTCCATGTTTTCCTTCTTTCTTTTCCTTCTTTTTCTTCTTACCATCATGGCTCTCTTTGTCCTTGGATTTGCCTTTATCTTTGGATTTTTCCTTGTCCTTTTTGTCCTTTTTGTCCTTCTTGTCAGATTTGTCCTTTTTGTCCTTGTCAGATTTGTCCTTTTTGTCCTTCTTGTCTTTGCTATCAGACTTGTCTTCGCTGTGCTTGTCTTTGCTATCAGACTTGTCCTTGCTGTCCTTGTCTTTGCTATCAGACTTGTCGTCACTCTAATGACAAATACAGAAATTTTAATTAAATGAATAACCCACAAGTATACATCAGATTCAGGATGAAAACTGGAATTAAACTGGAACAAAATCCACCAGCTGCTGCTGCTGCTGCATGCGAGTGTGGTTCTCATTCATTTATTTATTTATTTACAACCAAACCCAAGTTGGGTTGGCTCATTCACACGTCTTTGTACCTTTTTGTCCTCGTCTTTGTTTTTGCCAAAGGGCCAGTTAATCTCATCTTTCTGGGCTTCGTCCTTCTTCACCTGCTCCTCTTGATCACACGCTGCACCAAGACACACAAACAAGAGCTCACATTTCATCAACAACAACAAAATCCCGACAACAAGCTCGAGTCAAACTTTTCTTTCACCCATTTTCTTTGTTGCTAAGGAATGTTGTTGTATTTTTAAAGCTGTTTAAAGATGATTAAAACTCACCTGAGGACAGATCAAAGTCCATGTTTGTCTAAAACCTGCGACGCTTTGCTTCTCTAACAATCGGGAAATGTGTGTGAGCCACACCTGAAGCAGGTAACCAAGGTAAAGGGTCACACCCACAAACAGCTGCTGCTATGACTCATTTCTTTCAGCTTGAAGCTCTAGAGCACCAACAGTAGAGGTGCAATCAGATCTGCACCAATGAAGAGTGATGCTTTCAGCTTTGGGCGTTGCGGGGGAATCAGTCTTTGGCCTAATCCCAACACTCGCACTACGCCCTATGGTCTTCTGTCAAGGGCACTTGGAGGAAGTGTGCAGTAAGGCTTCGAATGAGTGGTACACAATAATTGCCGAATAGGGAGCCTAAGTCACTTCCGCATTGTGGGTCTCCGGAGGAATGAAAAAATGAATGCAAGTCAACGGGGCTAAAATGCTATTTTCTAATTCCGCTTGTTTTGGGCCATGGATTTCACATATTACAATACTACTAAATAATAATAAATCTAACTTATACAGCACTTTTTAGGACACTCAAAGACGCTTTCATGCACTCTCACATTCACACGCTGCCAGTGATGGTAAGCTACTTTGTAGCCACAGCCGCCCTGGGGCGGTCTGACAGAGGCGATGCCATTTGGCGCTGTCGACCCCTCTGAACACCACCAACACAAGCAAGTTGAGTGGCGTGTCTTGCCCAAGGACACAACAGTGGGATCTGGAATCTCACCCATGACCCTCCGATCATGAGGCAACCCGCTCCACCTCCTGAACTACTGCTGCCCCATGTCCATGAATTTTAAAGACACATTTTGATACCAAGAATGTGCTTATTTTCGAACAGGGGGAAACGCTATTTTCGGTTTTGTGTGAAAATACTGACTGTCAAGCAGGGAGGCATTGGGTCCCTTTTTTTTTCAAAGTCTTTGGTAAGACCCGACCAGGAATCGAACCCTGATCTCCCAGTCTCAGGGCGGACACTCTACCACTAGGCCACTGAGCTCGTGGAGGATGGCTGCTTATACTGAGCCAGGATTCTCTGGAGATTTCTTCCTGTTAAAAGGGAGTTTTCCTCTCCACTGTCGCTGCATGCTTGCTTAGTATGAGGATTGCTGTAAACTGACTCTGACACTAGTCAGTGACTTGATGCAATTTGCTGGGTTCCTTATATAGGACACATTATTTCTGATTGGCTTAATGAACTGTGAATTGGAATGTTTATTATGTGAAGTGCCTTGAGACGACTCGTCGTGATTTGGCGCTATATAAATAAAATTGAGAATTGAGTATTATATAGAGTCAAGTCACCAAATTGGTCTGGGTTATTAACACTGTATCACTCACTGATTGAACCATATTTAATTTATTGTTTGGAAATTTGGGGAGCCACATGCAAAACTTTTACTCAGCCTTTGTTCGTTTTACAAAAAAAGAGCATTGAGGATCATTTATAACAGTAACTATAGAGATCACTCAAATACATTATTCATTAGATGTAAAATACTGAAATTTCCTGACTACAGAGCGAATACGAGTAATCTACCAACCAATATTCAGAAAATGTTTCGTAAGAGAATAAGTGGGTACATGTTAAAAGGGACTGATGTCTTTAAAAAAACCTTAATTCAGAACCAAAATAAAGGAATGTAATATTCTGTAAATGGTGTAAGATTGTGGAATGCAATTAAGAGAAATGAAAGAATCTAACTCACTTGCTATATTTAAAAAAAGTATAAAATCAAATGTATTAAGTAATTATGAAAAGGTAAATTAAAATGACAATGATTATATGTAAAAAGTAGAAAGGCACTGAGGTTATATTGTATGTTTTACAGATAATTTTCTTTTAAAAAGGGGCAGAAATAAGATTTTTCTTCTATCTGCTCCTTTTGTTCAAATGAATTTTTTTCAATATGTTTATGAACTGTATTTGCTTGTGTTTACTTTATAAATTTTGAATGAAATAAAAGTATTCAAAAAAACAGTATTTTGGTTTTACTTCAATGTAAGGATAACTTATTACTTTCCATCCACTTGACTTTATTTAATACAGAATTTACTGTGCAAAAAAGATAAAAATTATCACTGCTAAAAAACATTTATATCATCAGCAAACAATATACATTTCACCAATCGAGAAACACTAAAATAGTTGTTGATATATAAGTTAAATAATCTTGGGCCCAATACTGATCGTTGGGCAACAGCACAAGCAACGTCAAGACATCTGGAAGACAATTCCCCCATTTGGACATATTGCACTCGGTCCAAAAGAGTTCAAATTCAACTCAATTCAGATTCAAAGATACATTATTAATCCCAGAGGGAAATTAGAGTTTCAGTACACACAATTCTGAGATCAGACTTACATACATAGGCATAGACACACGACAAGAATTGGTGACTGTGGTCATTCGCAACCCAAGTCGCGCTACCTTAATAGAGATCAGAGGGTTTATATGAGGATTGGTTCAGGTGGAGGAAAAAGTCACTTCAGAGTTACCCTCCACAGGGAGGGCAGCTTTGCTCTGCAAAAAAACACCTCAGACAGAAATGCAATAGACGTCAGACATTACACAACATAAGTGTCCACTAGGTGGGGAGGTAGGGTTGGGGACTCTCCACACATCAGTGCATGCAGCCGCGATAAGCAGCGCTCGTCACCTCCGTTTGGACAGAGGAGGGAGGTAGTTGGTTTTAGAAAGCACAGTGATTCCTCGAACGATTCAACGTCCTTCACTGGTTGCAGTCTCGCCCAGGCTGGGATAGGGAGACAGAGTTGCCATGGCAATGGCAGCATTCCACATTTCTTCTGAGGGGGAGTAATCACTTCAGTCTCACAGGCTCAAGGGCACCAGATTCAGATAAGAACTCGTTTTGGGGCCAGACAGAGATAATTTCCTCTCTGTCTTAAAGTTCCGTTGGTCCTCAACCTCTCTAAATCCAATAATGGTGTAATTTATCTATCCCAATCCGTCAACTTTCTCCTTGATCGAATCCACCTTCTGTGCCAGAGTCTGAATCTCAGCCAAAGTTCCAAGCTTACGACTCATCACGACAATTATATGAGTTTGTGCGTTCACAGCGCGGTGTAATCCATGAAGGCAACTGGACTTCTTTGGTTTCTTGAAGACATCACAGGATCTTTGTCAATTCTGAATGGAATATGGAGGGTCAAGCTTATAAACTCTAGCTGTCTACTGTTGCTTAAGGAGCAGAAACTCACTCTGAATAACCCTCCTCTATACCCCCGATGGGTTGTTAAGTCTCTATTGTGTGGGAATAGTCTGTCTCTATATCATGGTTATTGTCATCGGTGTATTCACAAGCTTTCAGATGCAACTGTTGTAGCTGCAAGATTCTTGATTCCCATGCGTTGCATCGTTGATTTCATTCATACTTGTCTAATTCCTCCAAATGTCTCAGTGGGAGGATCTTGGTCTCCTCTGGTAAGCCGTTGAGCTTGATAAAGATTTTGCAATTTTCCACCCATGTGTGTTGGATTTGTTTGTTGTTTCTTGAGGTAGCTTGCGTTTTTGCCATTTCAGCTTTCTTTCCTTTTAAGTGCCAGATGGGTAAAAGACTGGACTTATTGGAATTATTTCTAGGATGTAAAAACAAAAAAGTGCCATTTGGTACTCTTGTAGTTAAAGAAGTTCCCTGTGTCCTGTGTGGATTCTCATGTGTTTGTTTAAATTAGTCTTTTGGCTAAATCTTTGTCCACAGAGCTCACAAGCAATAGGCTTCTGTCCTGTGTGGACTATCATGTGTCTGGTTAAAGTATTCTTTTGGCTGAATCTTTGTCCACAGAGCTCACAAGCAAAAGGCTTCTGTCCTGTGTGAACTCTCGTGTGTCTGATTAAAGTATTCTTTTGGCTGAATCTTTGTCCACAGAGCTCACAGGCAAAAGGTTTCTGTCCTGTGTGGACTCTGATGTGATGGCTTAAATTAGTATTTTGGCTGAATCTTTGTCCACAGAACTCACAGGCAAAAGGCTTTTGTCCTGTGTGGATTCTCATGTGACTGTTTAAAGTTGAATTACGGCTAAATCTTTGTCCACAGAGTTCACAGGAAAAATGTTTCTGTTTAGTGTGGACACTCATGTGACTATTTAAACTTGACTTGAGGACAAATCTTTGTCCACAGAGCTCACAAACCAAAGGCTTCTGTCCAGTGTGGACGGTCATGTGTCTGTTTAAATTTGCCTTTTGGCTAAATCTTTTCCCACAAAGTTCACAGGTAAAAGGTTTCTGTCCTGTGTGGAGTATTATGTGTCTGTTTAAATTAGATTTTCTACCTAGTCTTTTTCCACAGTGGTCACAATTAAATGATTTTGGTTCTTTCTGAACTTTCCTGCATGAGTCTACACGTTGCTTCACTCCAACATATTTCATATTAACCAAACATCCTGAAGACCTTATAGCTGAATGACCTTTCACTCTCACATGTTTCTGGAGAGACGACTTGTGGAGAAATTGTTTACCACACTCAGGGCAGCTAAAGTATTTGTTGACAGTCTTAACAACTGACTCAGAAGACCTTCTCTCATTCCAGTCTTTGTCTCCGTCTCCAGTTCCAGATCCAGAGTCTGAAAGCCCAGTGTCTAGATTCACATCATCATCATCTCCAGTCTCCGAAGCATCAGATGTCTGTTCATGAGGGTTCAGATCTGGGTTCTTGCTAGTTTCTGCTCCTCCACCAGAATCTGCTGTCATCTGGTCACCTGAGCTGCTTGTTGGGACATCGTTGTCCTCCATTTGCTGCTGATGAAGCTGTGAGAACAAAGGTTTGTCTTCAACATCCTCATTCTTCATAGAAACTACAGTGAATGGAAACCTGGCAGCATCCTTCTCCTCCTTCAAACGGATCTGCTCTCCCTCCAGACTGGTCCAGAGGTCCTCCTTTATGTAGAGGCCTTCTGGGTCCTGCTTGTCCACACCAGTACTCTTTTCTTCAGGAGTTTCTTCTTTAACCAGCATCACCTGATACACATCTGTGGGAAACACAGAAGTGCATGATGTGAATTCCACATAGATAAGTTTTATATTAGATCCCGCTTCACTCCATCCTCTGATTTCCTCAAAGCCCTCTGGCTCCCCCACTGATTTGATGCCCTGTTTCTCATCCCTGAGAAATTCTGTCAATAGCAGTTTGATCGATTTTCAACAAACTCCTGAAGACCCAGCTCTTCAGAGAGCATCTTCTAAACTCCGTTTATGTTTACGTTTATGTATTTAGCAGACTCTTTTGTCCAAAGTGACTTACAAGTGATAATGAAGCCAGAAGGTTGTCCTAGAGACCAACAACAAACACCAATCAGTCCATCCTAGGTGGCAGTGAGGCAGCAGAATGAATCATAGAGGGAAGCGAACAAGGAGTGTGCAGTAGGGTGGGAGACGGGTGCAGGGAGGATCCTAGTTTAGAAGATACTCTCTCCCTGGACCCGCCTCCCTCTCTACAGTCCACTGAGGACAAAAAATAAATAAATAAATCCTTCGAACAATCCCAATAAGACGTTACCAAACTCCACCATGATAGGATGCAGCAGGTGGAATGAATAGCCAATCGATTTCCTTTGACAGTAGAAACTGATGAATTTTGTTACGCTCCACTGCCGCCAAACCCTCTTAGTTCACGCTCTGCACCAATAAAATTTGTGCCATTATCCAATCTCATCTGATAGACTGGACTCCTGCGACACATAACGTCTTATGCCAATGATGCATGAATCAGATGTTAGTGAGTGAGCCACTTCCAAATGTATGGACCTGCTTGCCAGAGATAAAGATTACTCAACATCGTTTGACCATTGCACGCCATCTCTTCACCTCAGTAGGCCCAAAATAATCAAAACCTACATTAGCGAAAGGCGGCTAATCTAAATTAATGCATGATGGTTGTGCTCTTTGACGCTTACAAACACATTCAGAGATGATCTTCCAACAAGCCGAGTTGTCACTAGTAATCCATTATCTTTTCCTGAAAGTATGTAATTTTTCTGTTTTAAGCATTTCGGACGAGACGAGAAGGGAGGGAGGAATTCAAATTCCCAGAGGAAAATTAGAGTTTCAGCGCACATACATAGACAGACACATGACAAGAATTGGTGACTGTGGTAATTTGCAACCCGAGTCGCGCTACCTTAATAGAGATCAGAGGGTTTGTAAATGAGATTTGAGTCAGGTGAACAAAAAAAAAAGGCACTTCAGAGTTACCCTCCACAGGGAGGGCAGCTTTACTATGGAAGAAACACCTCAGACAGAAATGCAACAGACTTCAGACATAACACAACATAAGTGTCCACTAGGTGGGGAGGTAGGGTTAGGGACTCTCCACACATCAGTGCATGCAGCCGCGATAAGCAGCGCTCGTCACCTCTGTTTGGACAGGGGAGGAAGATAGTTGGGTTTAGAAAGCACAGTGACCCCTGGAAACGATTCAACGGCCTTCACCGGTTGCAGTCCCGCCCAGGCATGGATAGGGAGACAGAGTTGCCATGGCGACGGCAGCATTCCTTATTTCTTCTGAGGGGGAGTAAAGCTTGGTTTATGCTTGACGCATTCACTTTCCGCGCGGTGATGCGGCTCGCGGCTGGAACGCGCTTCACAACTCGCAGCGTTTATGGTTTGTGCGGCTCGTCTCTGCGGTGAGCCAATATTCTCCCAAACTGAACGGGGCAGCATGGAGCTCTACGGCATGCAGCCAACACTACACCATAGTAGAAGTAGAAATTACTGTTTACAACATGGCATTCCAGCATTTTTAACAGCGTTCTCGTCTTTTCCGACAGTGCAAGCTATTTCTCTCCAAGAATTATTAACAACATGTTGATCACGGTGATCTCTGAGAGCTGAATCATACAAATGTCTGTATTTACGAACCTCTGCCGTGCCGGTCCGCCATGTTTTTCCGCGTCCGACCGTCTGCGTGGTTAGAAATTTTCCGAGGTGCGCGTTGCGGAAATCTTGGGCCGTGCGGAGACGCGGTGGAGGGGCGTGGTTGTTAAAATGACGCAAAATGACGCAACTTTTCCGCGCGGAGCCGTGCGGACCTCGCGGACGCGTCAAGCATAAACCAACCTTAATCACTTCAGTCTCACAGGCTCAAGGGCACCAGCTTCAGATAAGAACTCGTTTTGGGGCCAGACAGAGATAATTTCCTCTCTGTCTTAAAGTTCCGTTGGTCCTCAACCCCTCTAAAATGGCGTAATTAATCTATCCCAATCCGTGCTGATCCATCCACTTTCTCCTTGATCGAATCCACCTTCTGTGCCAGAGTCTGAGGCCTAGTCCACACGTAGCCGGGGTTTTTTAAAAACGAATATCCGCCTCTCCAAAAACTTGCATCCACACCACCGCGTTTTAAAAAACAAACTCTGTCCACACGTACCTGGATAAATACGTTGTTAAGGACATGCCAGACCAGTAGGCGGCAGTACTTCCCCCGTTCTTAACCTCGTCCTTCGTCTGTGGTCTTCCGCAAGGAGCAGTAATTCCGCTTGCAAAAACAAACAAGCAGAAAGCGCTTGGACAATTGATGGATCGGGTAGTGACAGAGCGCAGCTCTGAAGGCTTCCATGATGCCGGCTAGTGTAAACACAGGTCGCACACGTGATGTCAGCATTTTTTTGTCGCGAAAAGTGACGCTGCGGACCTTAAAACTCCGGTTTTGTCCGTCCACACGCAGACACCCAAAACGGAGAAAACGCAGATCTTCACTTTGGCCGGAGTTTTTAAAAAGATCTGTTTTCGTGTGAAAAAAACTCCGTTTTCGTGTGGATGACAGGCCAAAACGTAGAAAAATATCTACGTTTTGGCAGATCCCCGGCTACGTGTGGACAGGGCCTGAATCTCAGCCAAAGTTCCAAGCTTACGACTCATCTCGACAATTACAGGTGCTGGCCAGTAAATTAGAATATCATCAAAAGGTTGAAAATATTTCAGTAATTCCATTCAAAACGTGAAACTTGTACATTATATTCATGCAATGCACACAGACCAATGTATTTCCAATGTTTATTACGTTTAATTTTGATATTTATAGGTGACAACCAATGAAAACATCAAATCTGGTATCTCAGAAAATTAGAATATTCTAAAGGCCAATGAAAAAATGTTTGTTTCTCTAATGTTGGCCAACTGAAAAGAATGAACATGAAAAGAATGTGCATGTATAGCACTCAATACTTAGTCGGGGCTCCTTTTGCCTCAATAACTGCAGTAATGCGGCGTGGCATGGACTCGATCAGTCTGTGGCACTGCTCAGGTGTTATGAGAGCCCAGGTTGCTCTGATAGTCGTCTTCAGCTCCTCTGCATTGTTGGGTCTAGCGTATTGCATCCTCCGCTTCACAATACCCCATAGATTTTCTATGGGGTTAAGGTCAGGCGAGTTTGCGGGCCAATCAAGGACAGGGATACCATGGTCCTTGAACCAGGTGCTGGTGGTTTTGGCACTGTGTGCAGGTGCCAAGTCCTGTTGAAAGGTGAAGTCTGCATCCCCATAAAGTTGGTCAGCAGCAGGAAGCATGAAGTGCTCTAAAACTTCCTGGTAGACGGCTGCATTGACCCTGGACCTCAGGAAACAGAGTGGGCCAACACCGGCAGATGACATGGCACCCCACACCATCACTGACGGTGGAAACTTTACACTGGACCTCATGCAACGTGGATTCTGTGCTTCTCCGCTCTTCCTCCAGACTCTGGGTCCTTGATTTCCAAAGGAAATGCAGAACTTGCTTTCATCAGAAAACATAACTTTGGACCACTCAGCATCAGTCCAGTCCTTTTTGTCCTTGGCCCAGGCGAGACGCTTCTTGCGCTGTTTCTTGTTCAAGAGTGGCTTGACACACGGAATGCGACACCTGAATCCCATGTCTTTCATGAGTCTCCTCGTGGTGGTTCTTGAAGCGCTGACTCCAGCTGCAGTCCACTCTTTGTGGATCTCCCCCACATTTTTGAATGGGTTTGTCGTCACAATTCTCTGGAGGGTGCAGTTATCCCTAGAGCTTGTACACTTTTTTCTACCACATTTTTTCCGTCCCTTCGCCTGTCTGTTAATGTGCTTGGACACAGAGCTCTGCGAACAGCCAGCTTCTTTAGCAATCACCTTTTGTGTCTTGCCCTCCTTGTGCAAGGTGTCAATGATTGTCTTTTGGACAGCTGTTAAGTCAGAAGTCTTCCCCATGATTGTGGTGCCTTCAAAACAAGACTGAGGGACCTTTTAAAGGCCTTTGCAGGTGTTTTGAGTAAATCAGCTGATTAGAGTGGCAGCAGGTGTCTTCTATATTCAGCCTTTTCAGAATATTCTAATTTTTTGAGATACCAAATTTGGAGTTTTCATTAGTTGTCACTTATGAATATCAAATTTAAATGTAATGAAAATTGGAAATACATTGGTCTGTGTGCATTGCATGAATATAATGTACAAGTTTCACGTTTTGAATGGAATTACTGAAATATTTTCAACCTTTTGATGATATTCTAATTTACTGGCCAGCACCTGTATATGAGTTTGTGCGTTCACAGCGCAGTGTAATCCATCCCTGAGCTCCGGGATTGAGCCAATATTCCTCGACAGCTCATTAATTTTCCGGTAAGCCAGGTAACCACTGTAATGGGGTGAAAATTAATTTAAGATACTTAAATTAATAGCAAAAGTTTATTTATTAAACTGAAGATTCAGTAAGATTCTTTTCATTCGATAAACTGAAAATGCAACCCTTTTCTGTGTTTCGTTTCAATAATGAGGCAAGTTTAAAAACGAAGAAATTTATTTACTAACAATTTTTAAAGGAAGGAAGGAAGGAAGATCTTTTATATAGCGCCTCAAGATAAAAATCAAGAGTTACTTCACAAAAACTAAAAATTTAAAATATAAAACAGATTTTTCTTCTGTCAAGAAGAGATTTAAGGAGCCCTTGTAGACGGGGGCAACGGCTGCAACACTCCTCGATCAAAGGTGAGAAAACCTTTTATTCCTGGGTGTTCACGAATCCACACGTACTGTCAAGTCTGGTTTGTGAAACTGGCCTTCTACTAGTTTGATAGCAGCTTTACTCAGTTTTGTGGTTAACACACAGGGTGTGTGTGTGTGTGTGTGTGTGAGACAGAGATGAAAACTGAACAATAGCTTTGTGTATTTCTATCCAGTAGTGTAGGATGGTTCGCATTTCCTTCAAATTTGATTTACAAATAAGAAGAAGAAGACGATCTTTTCTACAGCGCCTCTCAAGATAAAAATCATGAGGTGCTTAAAGCAGTTGGACTTCTCCACACCTTCATCTCCTCACGCTTAGACTACTGTAACTCTCTTTTCACGTGTCTGAGCAGAACCTCCCTGAACCGTCTACAGGTGGTTCAGAACGCCTGTGCTCGGCTTCTGACCAAGTCCTCCAAACACACCCACATCACCCCGCTTCTCCTCCAGCTTCACTGGCTGCCAGTCAACTTCAGGGTTCATTTCAAGATCCTGGTTCTGGTCTATAGGGCCTTACATGGACCAGCACCATCTTACATTGGTGATCTTCTTAGTCCCTACACCCCCAGCAGGTCCCTGAGGTCCAGTGATCAAAGCCTACTGGTTGTGCAGCACCAGGCTAAAGACCAAAGGTGACAGATCATTTGCTGCTTATTCATTTTTTTAATTCGTTTTTACATTTTAAATGGTTTTGTTTTTGTGAAGCGCCTCGTGATTTTTATCTTCAGTCGCTGTATAAAAGATTGTTTTCTTTCTTTTAATATAGAATAGATTAAACGCGTTGGGACTGTACTATGAGGCCAGCTAAGCCCATGACTAATCAAAACACAAGCTAGGCAAGATCTATGAACACCTACAGCTTTTAATGTTTAGTCTCGTCTGTTTTTCTTCTAATGAAAAGGTTTTTCCACATCGCACTCAAGCCACAGATCCACAGCCTGCTCTCTGACATCCTGAGCTGGGCCACTGCAGCGGAGCGACAGGTCGGTGAGGAGCGACTTCGATCACCCACAGAAAGTACCATGGACCGGCTTGCACGCGATGTATGCTGAACTGCTGCCTGAAGACGTCTCCAACACCGGCTCAACCAATCTCTGATGATGGCTACAGAAACTAGCCGAAACAGTTAAAAACCAACTATCTTTTATTCAACTGTGTAAAAAAAGAACAAGAAACTGATAGCTGCTGGTTCTTTCTTCCACACAATGTTCAAAGGCTTTAAGAAATTAAATATATTATAATGGGTTGCCTTAAAAAAACGGGCCACGTAGCTGCTGACGCTGCTGCACCAGCATTGCTGTGATTTCATTTTGCTTTTGCGTAATAGCACAGACTGCATTATCGTCCACAGCAAGTGAAAACTGCGGCGTAGGTTTCTGCTCCTGTTTTTATGCAAAAGTTGAGAAAAGGCTGGCTCAACTTTGACTTGGAGTACTTCTGTAAAGAAGCTGACTCATCCTCTTGTCGTAAAACAGGTTTAAAGGGGGTTTGCTCCTGTTGATATAGTGTGAGCGGATTCTGTATGCTTGATCAGAGTGTAACACTCACATCTGGTCCAGACACTAGCTGTTGAGTTCAGCTGAACAACAGTTCCTTTTCCTGAGGATTAAATTCTGTTTGTTTTTTGTTCTTTGCGTCCTTTCCTCACATTATTGTTCATTCATTCTGTTTGAGTTAGAACTTCAAAATAGCAAAAGCTTTCCGGCTGCAGCGGCTATTTGTGCTTCCAACTCCATTTGCTCCTTTTGTTTTCTTAACGTTTCCGCCTCCGATCTGTGTTTCTCCTCTTCACTGCAGCAGCTTTCACGATCAGTGCTGCTTTCCCTGCCATGAATAATTTACTGATGAAGTGCATGATCCAGCACGCCTGCTTTTGGGTGCAGTTGGGGTTGTATTCCCATTTATTGAAGATGTCGATGAGTACAGAGGTTCCATCCCGGCTCCGCCCCGAGAACGCTGCTGTTGTGTCCTTGGGCAAGACACTTAACCTGCCTAGCCTGCTGGCGGTGTTCGGAGGGACCGGTAGCGCCTGTGTTCGGCAGGCCTCGCCTCTGTCTGTGTGCCCCAGGGCAGTTGTGGCTACATCATTGTTCATTTCCACCAGTGTGTGTGTGTGTGTGTGTGTGTGTGTGTGTGTGTGTGTGTGTGTGTGTGTGTGTGTATAACTGTGTTGTGAAGAGCCTTGGGGGGGCTTGTAGAACCCTACGAAGGTGCTATACAAATACAGGTAGTAGGGCTGCTCGATTATGGCAAAAATAATAATCACGATTATGGTGACTGAAATTGAGATCACGATTATTTAGGACGATTTTACAATTTATGTTGATTTTATTTGTTTTTATTCAGTCATAAAATTGCTCAGGGCACAATCAGGACAAAAATAAATAAGAAACAAGATGATCACTAAAATAACTCCTGATTCCCAGTATAAAAAGACCAATATACTTATGGCTCATAGTTTATGACCCAAGGGCTGTAGACCTTGGTTTAACTCATGTAAGTCTAACCAGTACATACCCAAATACCAATATCTTGCAAATACTGACAGCAAGAATTATACAGCGGCATTTATAACAAATTGATGCAAATACATCGATGTCCACAAAATGTTTCATAACATTTATTGAGTCGTGTCAAGGTGCTGTAGGAGAGTGCACTAGCACCGTGTCCTCAGAGAGATTAGTTATTAATTATCAGCGTGAGGAACTTATTTCTACCTTATTTATAAACTATTTATTTACAGGTCCATCAGTTAATGTAATAATTGTCCCAACCACAGCTGCACCCCCCACCCCCCAACCCGGTCTCACAGCAATCAGGGGCAAGCTGCACGTATGTTTAGCACGCCGCACGCGCACATTTAGCCGTTTTTAGCGGCTCAGGAGTCCGCAGGTGCGGTGTGTGTGTCACTCACTCTGGTTACTCCAACAAGGAGCCGGCTCCGAGAGCTGTTTCTTTAGCGACCGACACATCACTACATCATTCCCTTTCCCAATTCCTGAAGAACGGTCCGGAGCGCAGGCGGAGTGTTTAGCTAACCTGCAGGAAATGTCGACGACAGTTATCCAGAAAGTAGCTAAGGGTTACCAGAGATGTTTCTGAGGTGTTCGCTGGGTACTTTTAAGATTTAAAAAGTCAAGAAGGGGGTCTGAGAAGCTGTTAGAAATAGCGTCAAAGTTGCCAAGTTGGAGGAGCGCTTCATTTGCAACTCAGGGCAGCGCAAGTGGGAGGAGCAAATAATCGGCTTGTTTTGTTTGTATAATCGTTCAAAACTCAGATCGTAATCGTGATTAAAATTTGATTACCTGAGCAGCCCTAACAGGTAGTTTACTATATTGAAGACCAATGAAGCAGTAAGAACCGCCTGACTTCCCATCACCCAAACACCGGTGCACTGCTACATTACACCCATCTTGCTCCACAGTGCCACCGGTGGTTAAGCAGAAAATGAGGCATAGTGCAATAAACTGAACTTAAAGCACTAAACTTCAGTAGTTGAAATGTGCCATAATACGTAGCAGCGCTGTGGCTTATATAAGCATATTTTCACAACATTTGTGATAAATTTTTATGGGAAAATTATGTAATGTAATGTAATACTGTTTGGCTTGCTATTTTTTATCTGTATTTCCTCCTAAAAACAATAAAAAAGATACAGTAAAACATTCTTGTTCACTCTTTTGCAGCGAGCTTATTTATCATTTTTGAAAGTTACGTAAAAAGATGTAATTTCACTCAGTTGAACATCTTTTATTTGAGGAAGTTTAGTCCTCATAAAGGACAATAAGTTCTGTGACTTTGGAAATATTTGACCTTGACTGACTAAGGGAAACATAATATTTCATGGGAACATAATTTCCCACAACACCCGTTTCATGTGGATCACGGCGCCTCGATGTAAACCAACTGGCCGCCGCTACCAGCTTATATGGATATGGAGCGATCACTGGCTGATCGTTAGCCACGGCTGGTGAAGGAGTGTTGGTGAGTCGGGCCATGCTGGAGATCAAGTAAACAATGTCTGACTTATCCATCAGCTAATCGTGGCTCACGGCTGGCGTGGTGGAGATAGGCGTCACGAGCTACCGAGCTACTAGTTAGCCATGGCTAGAGCGGGGAGACGCTGTGTATGCTGGTGTAAACACCCACGGGTTACCAGAAAAGGAGATCCAAGTCTAAAGGTAACATTTGAGAAGAAGCCCTCTGAGTCGGAGCGTCTCTGTAACGCGTGGAGAACTACATCGCCGTTAGTAAAGTGTTGTGGAGATAAAGTAAACAGCGCTGATTTAGCCACTGGCTAGCGGACGAGCGTGTTGAGCCAGACGGCAGGCAGCAGGAAGAGAGGAGACTTGAGTAGAAGGACTTTGGAAAGGACACGTTGGGACTGGGTCGGGAGTTCTGGTACTAGGAAAAGACGGATGAACAACTTGAGGTGAGTTTGGGAGTCAGAGACACTAATCGGAGGCTGGCGTCCAGCTAATAGCGGGCGGGGGTCTGAACATATGCAGCTTCCTTGTGTTGGACATGATGACGAACTGACAAATTTTATGTGTCTTTTGATTTAATACTTTTTTATTCAAACTAACAAGTACAGCAACGGTGTAGCTATTCTGCCCTCTGCTGGTTCTTTCAGGTTACAGTCAGAGTCCAAACGGGTAACGTGGAGCTCGTATGTCCCTAAACAGCTACTGTATTTTAAGATGGTGGATGACTATGGAGCATTGACCACAGTTTATGCATTTAAAAATGTGTAATTTCAAGTTCAGATGAATATTTTGAATTGATGTGGGTGAGAAATATGAATGAAAATGACAAGTTTGTGAACTGGAAACACGGGATTTGATAGTAAACAGGCAAACATTTCACACACTGGGGCTTTAAAGTGGAGATTGGTTCACTGATCCAGCAGCAGTCTCACAAGTTATCCAACAAGGCCATTATTTTTAAAGATTGCACCACAGATGTACTTATACTTTCACCACAGTGACAATAAAGCTATCCATCCACCAGTACCTGTGTCCATGCTGTCCAGGTCCAGGTGGTGAAGAACACACGATGAATCAGTCCCAGATCCTGAAGTGGTAGCAGGTTTTCTTTAGCCGTGTTTAGCTAACAGCTGCAATAGTAACAAAGCAGGAGAGCTGATTAGGATTCGGGGCTTTTCCGTCGGAGAGTGTGAGCAGGATGGATCAGAGAGCGAGCAGCGATCCTGCATCATGACCAACTCAGATGAGCGAGTCTGATAGAGGGAACCTCTTCAATCTGATGAAAGCAGCAAAACGAGCGCGTTTCTCAGAGAGGCCAAAGGAACAGCAGCAGATCCAGAGGGCAGGAAGTCTAGAGAAAAGCTTTTCTCACCCACAACCTGATTCTGGAGCTCCGATTGTCACGAAGACCGCAGAATATCTTCTCCGGTTCTGGAAAGAACTCCACCAAGTTGTTGAGGAGGAGAAGAAAGTTTCCACAGCCTGGTGAGAAGATTTCTGCAGCAGCAGCAGTTAGTCGCTTTAACTGATCAACTCTCCCAGAGACTGAAGTGAAGACATTTTTACTGCAGAGCCTCAAATATTCTCCCCACACACCAGAACAACAACAAGCTAGCTCTGCTAGCAGTAAGGTGCATTACCGCCACCTACCGGTCTGGAGTGTGAACAACGGCTCTTCTCCCCACCCCTGGGGAGACCAGAACATCTGATTCTGCTAAAGGGTCTACCCAGAATAAACACTTCATTATTTTAACGTGTTGTGGAGAAATATGAGGTTAAAGTACAGATTACTATTTCAGTTTCCTTCCAGTTTGCTGTTTCTAGCGACTGTAATGAGCTGCAAAAATCAATAAAGCTCATTACCTTTGTTCCATTATCCGCCTTCAATAATTCATTACGATCAGTAGTTTCTGATCAATGTTCCTGCTGCTGAGTGAAGTCTGTGTTGATTGATTGTGCATGTTGTATACGGGAACAGTCTTTATACGCCTTTCATGTCTAAATGTTTTTCTCTCGTCTGTTCTTTGTTGTAAAGCTCTGTTGCTGCTGTTGTAAATGACAATGGGTTCTCAATCCTCTCAGCCTCTGATTTAAAAAGGTTTAAAAATATCTACACAAAAAAGATGTGTCGTTTTCAGGAGTTAATTTCTTTTAAAATGCTTCATCTGACTTTACTAGTCACCCATAACCAGAATAAACATTTCTTTACACCTCTTAGCATTTTGGGGAAATTAATTCCTGAGAATACCACAAAGGCGTTTTTCTGTATGTTGCCCTAATATTTATCCAAACAGCTACAGTAAAGGTATAACACATTTTGCTCTGGATGTTGTGTGGGAAAGTAGTAGGCAAGTCTTCTCAGTTCCTCATAATTTCATTGTTTTCACCTGAAAGGGCTCCCCAGTGCTCGATTACCGTAATAACCCATGTATGTGTGAAGTTAAAATGAGCAGAGCTCCAGAGTTGGCCGGTTTGACTGTGGTTTTTATAGCAGGATGATTACATGCACCTGCTTCCAATTAGTGGGCTGATCATCAACAGAGGCTGCTGTGCAGATAGCTGATTTACCTCAGAGCTTCCTCTTGCAGATGATGCAGCTGTTTAAAAAAACATGAAAATTGCAAAATGTAAAGTTAATATTATTAATAATAAATCTTGTTGCATTTATCATACTGTTGGACTTACATTAAGGCTCTGAGGCAAAGCAGAGTTCATAGGATAAACATGTGTGCCTTTTCTGGGTATGAAATGTAATAAAACGGCCCTATTCTCACCAGCTGTGAAGCAGGTCTGTTTCTGTTCTGGAATAATAAAAACCGGTGAAAATGGGTCTAAATCATAATCAGCTTTGAAATACATTTAGATAAATATACCATTAATGTAAAAAAAGAAACTCTCAATAACTTATGTTCACAACCAGAATTCGAACTCAGGTCTCCTGCAGGGAGGACCGTCATCTTACTAGGTGAGCTAAATCACCAGTAACATCTTTCATATCTGTAACTTTTATATAATTGATGACAGCTGAAACAACGTTCAAAGAACGGTTTGGAGCGAAAATGGCTATTTTGTTGCTAATTTGCTGGAAATATCTAGAAGAAAGTAGCAAAGGGTCCTCAGAAATGTAGCTAGGTTTGTCACTAGGCGTTAGGAACAGCAACAAAGTGGCACTGCCTCTCTCTCTGCTGCTAAAGCTACTGATAGCAAATGCTACGGGCTATGCCTGAGCGTGAACGCGCATGAAGCAGCCTGCTCGACCCGAGCAGCTCTCTTTTTCTGTGATTTTACAGAAAAACAGGCAATCACAGTAAAAATGCCAGGGCTCATTCTACAGGACCAGGGCATTGCAGGAGAATGTATGAAGACATTTATTATTTCTATAGATGTTTTGGCTGTCAAACTTCCATAATGCCCCTTTTAAAGAACTAAAGTTGGTTCACTGGTGCTGTGTGGCTGTGATTAATGTTGGGTATTCAAGAATCTTTTTATTTTTATTTTTGGAAAAAATACCCCACTACTATTTAAACTGTCATTTGTTCATGCTAAGCAGGTGGCACCCTGTAACTTTAAAATTAAATAATAGTAATAATCATTACTGTCTTTGAACCACTTCACTAATAACTAAACCAGTGATTAAATGTTTTTTTATCGATTAAGAAATGTAAGATTGAATGCAAGATGACAAATAACTCTGAAAAAAATTGTCCCCCTCACTTTTGAGATGATGGTTACGCCCCTGGCATTAATATACTCTCCAGTGAGAAGATTCATACAACCCCGGAAAAAAATATTTAAATTAACGAGCCTGGATTGACTAAAATGAATTGTTCTTTATTTGGAAGCTGCCACTAGCATGATTTATGTCATGGACCTATTAGTAACAAAATGTTATGCATTGGTGACATAAGTCATAAGGAAGCTAAAACCCTCCCCCGCCACCTATCACAACAGGAGCCGACAGCAGCGATCAGGTGCACTGAGGGCACAATCAGCTATCGATAGTCTTATCTTTCATGTTGTCATGGAGGTGCTTAGTTGTTTCACCTCCACCTGCCTTCCTCCCTCCGTGAAACAAATGCATCTGGCTGCTCCCGGACCTGCAAGTGGGGGGTTGGAGAACTGCTCGGTGCTGTTTTCTAAAAGGATACACTGGTATGACATTCACTCACCCTCTGGAACTCACTCCCACAACCCCTCCACAACTACTCTTGACCTCTCCACCTTCAAAACTCATCTCAAGACTCATTTTTAGACATTTTACAGTTGCGTGATCTGCCTGTTTCATGTTGAATTTTTACAGCGTCTCTGAGTGTTTAGTGTAGCGACATGAATGGCCTCATATTTGTGACCCAAAGGTCACACTTCCCCAGCTAGGTCGAGCTGGGTCAAGCTGTAATTTCTGTCCCACAGATTATCCATCACAGGAGCCATACAGTCTGCTAAAACCGTCTTTTATCTGTCTGCTGTTCCTCCGCAAGATGAAGGACACTTCAAGATTTAAAAATAATCATTTTTAATAAACTATTTTTACTGTTTATTACAAGGTTTATTATAATCATCATAAATAATCATCATGGTTCAGTATAAATGTATTTAATTACTGAAATGACTAATTATTCTTTGGGTTAATAATGATTATTATTTACGATAAGCAGTAATGTTTAACAGTAACCAGAAGGTCATTTGCACGTGTACACCTCATTTAGAGGGACTGAATCCAGGGTAAAGTTAACTTGCTCTCACATCTTTGCTCCATAACAAAAAGCTTTCTGACGCTGAGAGGGCGTGTTCTGAGGTTTTGTTAAAACCAAAAATGCTTCAGTCTAACTTCAGTTCTTGAACCAACCAGATACTCTCGTGGTGACGAGAGTACCAGAGGACGAGGGTCGGCCGCCTGAAGCCTCCACTGAGCTGTTCTGTCACGCCGATAGAATTGCTCTGAATAAACGCTCCTGTAACCAGCTAACCAAAACTCCTTCAGAGTTAATGGTTTTGAGACACAGATAGTTTCATCAGTCGTTGTGACCCGGAGACATCTCAGGACCGATTTGAGTCTTACTAAGGTCCTTCTACCAACCTCGTGCCCGGAGGACATCATCTCCACCTGACATCTCGGATCCACCAGAGGGTCTCCTGAACTGGGCGAGATAGACACTTTCCGACAGATGGCGTCTGATGCTGTTCTCTCTAAGAAACAACTTAGGTAGTTGCAAAACGTTTTCCACCCAGAACGCATTTCTCTCTCTGAAAGAAATCTTCTGAGATCATCCACGCATCCAAACATCGCATTTCAATTTAGTTTCCATCCAGACACAGGTTTGCTTTTAATAACAAGTTTTGATATCAAAGCTGTTATAAATTGTAATTTTCAAATTTTCATTTCAATTGTCATCTTTAAAATTGTTAGTAATAAATTCTTAACTTTTTAAACCTGACTCTTATTTGAAATGAAACACAGAATGGCATATATTTGGTTATTGAATAAGGAAAGATTCCTTTAAGCTTCTGATTCAATAAATAACTTTTGCTATTAATTTAAATATCTTAAATTTAAAAAAATTAATCTTCGGATTAAATATAGACCAAGCCCGTTGGTGTATGAACTTCTATCGATTGTATAAATATCCTAGATATTTATACATGATATAAGTTCATACGCTAATGTGTCTGATCTTTTCTCAGGATCTAACCAAGCTGACAGCAAACAGTGTTAAATCCTAGTATGTCGATTGTCTACGCTAGATTAGAAAAGTGCATTATTAATAAAATGTATATACATATGTATCTATATCATGACCCCAGACCTGTCCAATATGGCGTCCCACCTGAAGGCTTCTTCAGAGCTTCTGCTGGTGTAACTCAGAGTCACTGAGGCGCCACAATAAGGTGGCAATGCCTCAGGGGAAAACTGAAAACAAAATAATGAAACAAATAATCCTTTATCAGGTTTTAGGAACATGCAGACACACACATACATGTGGCATGCTTATTTTGTTGCAACACAATCATCTTTGTTTCCACACACATCCCAACAGAACATCAACAGGCAAAAAAACCCACTAGTGAGCTGATGTAGAACCATACCACCGTGGACACCTTAAGTTTCTATATTCAGATTATTATCAGTAAAGGCGAAGTTTGTAAATGTCTCATTTGTT